CAGACGCATACACAGGAACAGGGCTAGTGATTGATGCTATTGCATTTTAACAATAAGCTTTTGGCCAGAACTCATCAGAACACTCAGATCTGGGACCAGATTCATGCACATAAACCTTCATCAAAACTCAATGTAAAATAACTACTAAAAGGGTTTATACAGATGCAAGCTGCTCTGAACACACTCGGAGTGACACCTTGTAGTTTATTTTTAAAGCGTCATCAGCAATGCTTTAAAGAACATTAAAATCTACAAATGCAAAATAGCATGATAGACACAAATGCACACCCTAGTTATCCAAAATGAATGGTCTTTGCTGTATACCCTGAGGACTAATTTTGATGTTTGCAAAATAAAGTGTGTATCCTTGCCTTGAATCCTGTACCAAAATGTGGCATACTTTTCTTCCATTGAGTAATTAAACCTTAGATGAAGTTATTTTGGATTTAGTAAGAGGTTGTGAGCATATTGGATAATCATGGAATAGTAAAGAGATAATTCCAGTTCAAAGCAAAGATTATGTGGAGAGGTTTACATGAACTAATCATGCAAAGCATGATATATTTCGCCAGGTTCAAATTACGAATGCAGATTTAATTTGCAATTTATTAACAGCAAATTAGTTTAAAGGCTGAATTACTCATGTGTTTGATCATGTTAGCTCCCATGAAAGAAAATAATGTCTACTCAAGCACAGTATAAAAGGCAGTTGGAATTTATTATTGACATGTAGCGTACTGTGGACATATTTAATGCAATTTTCTGTTTAAATTTGAAATGGATGTACAATATATTTACATAACACAATCATCATCACAGCACATATACAGTAAATCTCATTAGAGAAAAAAAAAATTTGCTATTAAGGACGAGGTTATTCTGACAAAATACTAAAGCTGGGTATAGATAGATATTATTTCGTATGGATATTATTTCTTATGAATGTACGTACACAAAATCTTATCAGAACATCCGATAAGACTTCATGAATGTCGTTTGAAATTTCGTTTGAGTTTAACATTTAAATTTTGGAATGAATGGAGTCTCCCAAATTAAAACCACATTCACGGTTCGATTTTGGTTGCTTGAGAAAAAAAATTTCATCCAGCTCCTTCGATTTTTTTTATCAATACATTTGATTTGACCCCATTAACTAGTAGAAAACCAAAATTAACATTCTGAAAACTACCATTTTTCAAACAAACTTCTACCCTTGTATGCAAGCTTAAATGCAATTCGCTTTTCTGGGAAATGCTTAACCTCCCTGGCGGTATTTTCAGTACAATTTTCAGTACCAATAGCGGTAACCCCCGAGCCACACTCGGGATTGCACAGAAAAGTGTCATTTACCTTGTCCCTGCGAGCCCGCGGTGTCCTCTGCTGTACGAAAGCCGGCTGATGCCGGCATCTGAGTTTTGGTTTAGTTTTCGGGCGTCACAGCAGGGGGTGGAGCCGGCGGAAAATTCAAAAGGGAAAACATGACATTTACACAGAATACACACAATACAATGTAATCTGCTAGGATTACATTTATGTATTAAACTATTTCACTTCAATGTTGTCCCTAGAGCTTTGTCCAGTGCCCTGCCTGCACTTTTACTGTTCTTTCTGCCTGGAAACGTGAGAACGTCCATGGCATCCAAAAAGCGTCCCTTTAGGTCAAAAGCGGTTTTAGACCAGGTAGAAAACAGCGATAGTGAATTAGAATCACTTGCAGAATTGAGCGATAGCGATTCGTTGGGAAATTCGTCATCAGACACTGAAAATGACTTTCCCAACGAATCGCTATCGCTCAATTCTGCAAGTGATTCTAATTGACTATCCCTGCTTTCTATCTGGTCTAAAATCGCTTTTGACCTAACACAGCGACGATTCTGCGACCAAGCTCATGATGGTACTCATCACTGGTACTCTATTGACTGTGGTACGGATCAGGCAGCGCCCCCAGAATTCCCATTTACTGGACCATTTTTTATATTACTACATTATAATTTTTTATAATTATTTATAATATTATAATTTCTTTATAATTATTTATAATTTAATTTTGTGTTTCAAACTTTCATACCCGGGATGTCTACTGGACTCTTGTTTGGACAGATTTAGGTGAGTTATTCCTAAGATTTACTAAGAATTACGGGCCTACAATATAAAACCACAAATTTCCATGAAAACAATGTATCGCTTTGGAATGCTAAAATCCTGAATAATCAGATCGCCAGGGAGGTTAAGGAGCTCACCTGCAAAATAACATAAAAAAGGCAGCTATAGAGAAGGGGGTTGTTTCATCCCAGGGAAGGGGCTGCTGTTGCTAGGCAGCATATGTGGTCCAAAATCAATCTGCAGTAGACATGACTACTTCTACTTATGGATGCAAATCTAACAAGGATGTAATAGTTATTTATATATTTGTCTGATTACTGCTCTACTAATGTCGGCCTTAGTCCGTGCCCCGTCGCATTAAGAATGCAGGGTTTCATTTGTATGCACCGCAGCATGCACTACTTATTACAGATTCCTAGCAAGTACAGTGCAGACATATAAAAAGCAGCACTGGCTGGAAAGCACATGGGAGGCATAAACGCAGAATATTTCAAGTAAAGAGCTGCAGGCCAAGCTTGTGCCTTTAATGGAATAATTTATTTGCAGTTATTAAACCACGCATATATCTTTTCTCTTTGAAATTCAAACCAAAGCAACAACAGCTGATCAATGCATATTTTAGTAAGGTAATTATTTCCCCAGTCCGTAGAAACATGCATGCTACACAAGCTGACTTTTGTGCGTTTACGCTTTGAGAATCAGATGACCTTGCAGTGCGGTATGTTCAAATTTTTGCATTGGGGCTACATTCACACAAGCACTCCTGCGTTTAGGTTATTTAAACCAGGGATAGACAAATAACCGTGGAATTCAGGAACCAGTGTGTCAAATCCAGGGGCCAGCAGGTTTTAGTCTTTTCATAAACCAGCTCCAATGACAACAACTAGAGAAAACCCTCAAAAGTTGGATGTCAGCTGTGATTTTGGTGGCACATAGCCACCTGGTTCCTGGGATGTGTCCGGCCCTTTTTTAAACACAGGAGAAATTGTCTGGGAATTCTAAACTACTTTTTTGTTTGTCAGATCAAGTCCTCTTCTGTTCAGATGTACCTGGGTTTAGCTGCATTTACACACATTTACATGCCCCTCATCCAATCACAGAAAGTCTTGTGTTCAATGTAATGGAACACAAGACTTTTTATTCTTTGCCTACCTTATTTCTATTTTCTCCACCAGTCTTCTGACTGGAGAGTGGCCATTTTAACTAAGGCGGGTTACTAGATCTCCCTTTACGACCTGGAACTCTGGCACATGTGACTAGGGCATGTGACCATGCACATCATCTCAGGGGAGGAAAGTGTCTTTCCCTGAGATCTTATGAGATTACAGATGAGATTTCCCGGCATTGCTTTGCTGATGTAACTTTCCCAGGATGCAATGCTTGGGCACGATTACATCATTTGTGCCAAAAAGGACCAGGAAGTAAGTTAACTATTTGTAAGTAAATCAAAAACATGTTTGTTTAACTAATGAATGTGATATGATTTTATATCAGCATGCAGAGCTGTATGAAGATGTGATTTTTAGTAAAAGGAGGTAAAGGTCCACTTTAAGTTGATCAGAGGCCTTGTTTACAAGTGTGCCTCCAAAATATAGAGGCTTCCCAGGTACACATAAATTGATCAGAGGACTGTTTGAACACCCCGATGTTCCAGAAAGAGTCACTTCAAAATTGGATGTGAACTCAAATAACATTTAATCAAAACTTAGAACATATAACATTATAACATATCTTATAAGGAATTTTAAGCAGTACCCTGAAAAAGTCCACCTTTTGTTTTCAAGTCTTCCTGAAAATAGCAGTGTCTTGGCACTTCTATTTTGTAGCCTCAAAACTGTATATCTGCAGCATAAGAAGATCTAGGGCAGGGGTGCCCATAAGGTCGATCACTGGTAGATCGCGATGAACATAACTGTATGCAGAGGGGATCCGAGGAGAAGTGAAGGAGCCGCTGCGGACGATGGCGGGGGGGTATGGGTTGAAGGACGGAGCCGTTGTCACTTAACTAAGGCCGAGCGGTGAGGGGAGGGAGTGAGGGAGAGAGAGAGACGCTCGGCCAGGATCTGACAGCCGGCGCCTCTCTCCCCTCACCGCTCGGCCTTAGTTCTGTGACAGCGGCTGAAGTGCTTCTTTGACTTCTCCTCGGATCGGATCCCCCGCTGCCTCTGCCCGGGAGATCCAGGGTTGGAAGCCTCTTTGCTTCCCATTCATTTAGAACAGAGGCTGCAGAAAAAGAGATTGAGGACTTGTCCTCAATTTCTTTTTCTATTTTAAAAGGGAAATATCAGGAGGCTGTTTAGACCCCTAATATTTCCCCAAAGCCCCCCAAGAATTAAAAAAAAAAAATTTAAATAATAAAAAAAACCCTGGAGGCAGGACGCTGGGTGACATCACACGCGTGTTGGGGGGACGTTTTTTTCTTGCCTCGGGCGCAAAAGGTGCTGGCTATGGCTATGCTCCTACGGTGCTCGTGCGGCTGCCGGCTGAATGTATCAGACGCAGCAGATGGAAAGGGGCAGGACACCTCTCGCCATGTGCAATGTCAGCCACACGAGCACCGCGGGAGGACAGGACGCCGGGCCTCTAGGACGCACTGGAATGTAAGCCAGCCGACTCCCTGCATTCAGGGGCAGGAGGGGGTGTGGGGTTGTATTGAAGTCAATGGCACCGAAGCCATGCACCCCGCCCGCAGTGTGATCGTCCGCACACGGAACGCAGGTACATTAGTTCCTGTATTCCGGTCCAGTGTGATCTGCAAAAATAGTGCTTGCAGCATTTTTGCGGATCGCACTGGACTGGAACGCAGGCACTAATGTGCCTGGGTTCCAGGTGCAAGCGATTGCATTGTGGGCGAGGGGCCTGGCTGCGGTGCCATTGACTTCAATGCACTGCCACACCTCCTCCCGCAGCTGAATGCAGGTGTTTTTTCATTGGTAGATCTCATTGAGCTCGTCATTTGAAAAGTAGATCTCCAGAAGAAAAAAAATGGGTGCCCCTGATCTAGGGTATTGGTGCCTCTGTTAGTCTCATGACATTTGTAGAGAGATTTTGTCACTACTGTGATGCTCTCTGTTCTCCTTGTTGGGGAGAAAGCTGTACCCAAGGATCTGCAGTGCAAAGATCTCTCTGCTTTATCCATTCTGTGGACCTGTGCTTTCAGCACCTTTTCTGCTCCTTTTTTCCCCCCTCCATTTGTCAGATCATCGGGGTACAGCTCTGATGAGAGGAAGCAAAGCCCTGCCTCTATCCAAGATGGCAGCCTCCACACAAAAACACAGTGCAAAAGAAGGCATAAGTCAGTAATAGGTTAAAATTTATTTAGACTTTTGCGAACAAATGTTGGAAAACCCCTCTTTATGTTTGCGATGTGTTCCTACTCACGCAGCATCTGTAAAAATCATTTTTAAAATGTTTTTAGATATTTCTGTGCAGGAGGCCTTTGCAAGCATCTCTCTCAATTTCAAAGTTTAAAAGAGAACTCTGTCTGTTCCCAGAGAAAGACTAGGGATAGACTGAGCTTCCCCGCATACAATGTTTTGGACTTTGTTAGGACAGACCGTGTTCAAATCTAGTTGAGAACTGATGAGATCTGCCAGAGGGAAATTCAGCATAAAGAAAACATTTTCTTTCAGAACTGAGCATGTAATATGCAAGCAGCAATTTTGTTAAAGTTATGCTATATAAATAAAAACATGTAGCAACTATAAAAAAGGTGTAACCCCAAGTTGTTTGTAAAAGTGGAAATACACTTTAAAAGATCTGCTGCAGGGAGCCTACAGGCAAGACTGGTAATTAGTCCTTTTTGGGCACAACTTGTACAGTACAGGTCCTCCTTTAACAGCAAGTATCTAAATGTAACCCACTGATTATGTAAAAAAATTAATTAAGATTTTAACATTTCAATCTGTATTTACAAAAGCAGCCTAAAAGGTTATAAATACAGACAGCTCTGTAGCTAAACATGCCTGTGAAAGAAAATTAGTGTCTTGACTCCCAAGACAAAAAAGTACAACAGTATTTTTGTCATGGACATAGGGAAGACGAGTGAACATTCATGTAACAGCCGTTTCCTAAATCAGAGAGAAAACATCAAACTGTTTTTTTGTGCCAACAAATTTCTTAATTTAGAACTAGCAATGATCTATACTACTTACTACGATCTACACAAAATAAACCTATATGCATGGGTTTTACTACAGTGGAAATGCTACCATAACTTGGAGAAAAACATGCTTCCCCTTCAGTCTTATCCAGTCCCTCATGGTGCGTTAAAATGCGTCGCATTAAAGTGACACTAAACTTAGGAGTTAAAGGAGAATTATGAGGTGAGTGCTTTTCACTCACCTCATTATTCTAGCCGACCTGTGACAATGAGACTGTCACAGGTCGGCTTAGTAGATCGGGGAGTGAACACATACCGGCGTTCGCTCACCTCTCGATCCTGTCACGGCTCTCCGACAGGGGAGGGGCTAGATTCCCCCTGCTCCGATCCGCCAGCGCTGACTGGCGGAACGGACAGGGGAGGGGGCGGGTACAGCTGGCTCTGCCTCTAGATAGGCAGAGCCAGCTGTCAGTCATGCAGCTGGGTGGATCCAGACAATTGTCGGGATCCGCTTCAGCTGCGGCGTCTCAGTATACCGCGAGCAGCAGCTCGCGGTATACTGCGGCGTCTCAGGATGTAGCTCGCGGTATACTGAGCCTAGGGTGACGGGAGGACGCTTGTTTGTGTCCTCCCGTTACCCTAAGGAGAACTATGGGGAAAAGCCTTAACCCCATAGTTCTCCTTTAAATCTTAGAAATGCATTTAAGTACCTTAACGATTACCAAAAATGTAGCTCATTTGTGTATCACTCAGCTGTACATCCTCAAATCACCTCTGAATTCATGGTGACATTGTCCTTTTTGGAGGGTGGCTACTTTTGTTCACCATGTTCCCTGTGTGTGCTGTAAAGTAGTCACCGCTCCAAGCTTACTGTGATGGATTATAATCTCACTACAAATTAGTAAAACTAAATATGAGATTGTCGTCCATCACGGGAGCGAGCTTGGAGTGGTGACTACTTTACAACACACACAGGGACCATAGGGAACAAAAGTAGCCACCCTCCAGAAGGAAGGACAGTGTCAGCACCAATTCAGAGATGATTTGAGGATCTACAGCCGAGTGATACACAAATAAGATACATATTTGTTAATAGTTAGGGTACTTGCATTTTTAAGATTTGACTCCTGAGTTTAGTGTCATTTTAAGGCAAACCATTCATCAGAATAGCCTGCCAAAACGGTACAACAGACCAACAACTCTACAAAACTCTTCTTTTTTTTTCACCACAGCGCTGTTGTGCCTTGGCTGCTACTGTACAATGCATGTCACAGCTATTAGCAATGAAGGTCACCACAATACCTAGATCCATCCGATGACACAGCTTGCGATAACTCATGGTAAAAGTCATGTTTAAACAGAAGATACTGCGAAGCAATAGTCTGAATGGCACCACGTGAAATTACTCCTGCTAGCAGCATTATTTGCGAAATTTGCACCAGGATTTTACAAAAGGTACAGCATGCTCACAAGCACGCAGCGAACCATTGCTGTTTAGTAGACATTGTCAGAACATTTATAAATCTAAAGCCTGTAATAATAATTAGCTCGTGTTTTAGAAATTATTCTATAAATAATGTCCTTTTCCAGCAAGGCAACGTCCATTCTAAATCATTATAATCAAGTTTTAGAAATGTTTTAAAAGAAATCTAAATATAGCACTAATCACATCATCGTGTTCTTTTCCTTTGAAAGGTCAATTTACAAGTGACATTTCCAAATGGGAATGAACTTCTGAGTTTATTTCTGCAATGCAAAAATTAGGTCACATTTGATCTATTCCACAAAACAAAGCCCTACGCCAATAAGTGAAGCTAATGTATAAAGCTAACAAAGCCAAAAAAGAATGAACATGAAAGAATCTATTTACAAGCTCTCCCCTCTCCCTACCCACCAGTTTCAGTTGTGATGACTGGTCCCCCGAAGCCGCTCTTCTTACCGATATAATAGTCACATCAACACCTCTGACGTACAATACAGGATCAGTGGCCACCACTGGTCCTGCATTGTATGTGAGGGCACAGAGTCCAACCACATTACAGCACTGGAAAGTGAATGATTATGAAAGAAGTGTTACTCCAAATCCCAACAATGGTAATAGTTTGTTGTCAAAGTCTTCAATCGGTGCGTCATAGAAAGCTTTTTCAGTCCCCGCAGCACCTCTGCCAGCCCCCCACAGCCAGTGGCTTATGCAGGGCATAGCACATGCCCTGAGCGCCACTTGAAGGGAGGGCACCGCTCCATAAGTCACGGAAAGTTCGCTGACCCACACAGACAGCTGACTTTCTCTCTCCACCTCTATCCCATACACATCTCCTCGCCTGGCTCTTAGCAACCAGGGACCCTCTGGCTGACATCCTGCCAATCACCCGGCAACCAATTACATCACTGGTTGCCAGGAACCGAGCAAGATGCTGGCCAGAGCATCCAAGGTTGCCAAGAGCCAGGTGGGGAGAGGTGCAACGGCCAAACACACGTCCCCGCCAGGCTTTTAGTAACCAGAGCGGGCAAGGAGATGTGTATGCGGGTGACACCAGCCAGGATGTCTCAGTTTGCTAAGAGCCTGGCAGGGAGAGGTGTTTGCCCCATACACATCTGTCCACCCAGCTCTTAGCAAACTAAGATGCTCTGGCTGGCATCCCGCCCAGCTCCTGACTATCAGTGATGTCACCAGTTGCTGGGTAGGACGATGGGGGCACAATTTACAGTAGATATGCCTCAAAGCCCAACTAAGCGAAAGATATGCATTGCTAAGGTGCTGGTTGTCAGACTGCAGGGCCAGGAAAGAAGCCAACGCTGACCATACAGTGCTGGAATTTCTTGCTGACTGTTAAAATCTTAGGCCCCATTCACACTGAGCGATTTATCGTGCGGATTATCGCGGATATTTACCGCGCGATATCGCTCTCCAATGCATGGCAATGGGGCTCTGTCCTTCGCTGTCGCGGGTCGTGCGTCGCTACAGCAGCACCCTTTTTGGAGCGGATTTTGCCGCGATTCTAGTTTGCTCAATGCAACCATTTGCGTGATATCACGCAAAATGCAAATCGCGCGACAAACACGCGTTTTGCGAATTGCTCAGTGTGAATGGGGCCTAAAGCAGTGTGTGGCCCTGTCAGCGAACCTGTGTTCAACAAAAGTCAGTTTTTCATTCCCATCTGAACAGTGACTACAGCCAATAAGCTGCAGTCACTGTTTGAACAATTTGTAACTGAATGTGGTAATTCTCACAGTGGTGGGTTTGCTGGTGTCAGAATATCCAGATTAGCCTGTAGGCTGCCCAAAGGTCTGCCCCAAAGAAACTAGAAAGATGAGACATTTTTTGAATGGGAACACAAAGAGTGAGGTTTTCTCAAACCTGACTGCAAATGTGGAACTACACAAGAAATCAAGACCTACTTTATGTAGACTCATTTCCCAGGACTGAGGGCTCCAGGAGCACATCAAAACTATTATATACTTAAAAGTTTCACTTTACGACCTGGAACTCTGGCACATGTGACTAGGGCATGTGACCATGCACATCATCTCAGGGGAGGAAAGTGTCTTTCCCTGAGATCGTATGAGATTACAGATGAGATACCAATGCTGACAAAATTTGAAAATCACTGACCTGCAACAAAGAAAGCAGCAAGTGAAGTTACAATAATGATGCGTACATTTGCCCTTGAGCAGTCACTTAAAATATTGAAACCGAAAGATCAGTATGGCATTCAGGCCACTAGCATTTTTCCAAAGGAGATGTCAGAAATGGCAGCCTCCATACAGGTTTCCTTTAAGACATGACACATTTTTACCAGTGGGCCCATTGATCAGCATGCCATTCTTAGCTGCCCCTTCCAACGG